ATAGTTTAGTGAAAGTAATAATCAAAAACGTTTTTAGGCCCATGTTCTTAGGATCTAAACCACTCCATTCAAACTAAGCTAGATTGTTTGCTAGGATATAGAGCTGAAAGTATATTTCTTTCCTTCATTGGTCAACACAATTTAAAGTACTAGTTTTACTTTGCAACAACCATCCCTGCTAAGGTGGCAAACTTAGCCATTTTGGTGTAGTGGTTAAGACACTGCGCTAGAACCAGAAGACCTTGAATTCTAGTCCCATCTTAGGCACAAAAACCAGCTGCATGGCTGTGGGCCAATCACTGTATCAACCCTAGAAAGGAGGCAATGGGAAACCACTTCTGAAATCTTGCCAAGAAAACTGCAGACATTAGACCAGGCTGTCAGCAGAAGTCCACACTAACTTGAAGACACATATACACACACAAAAGCGATGAAACATGCTTCAGCATTTGCAAATACAAAGTAGTCCTTGACTTAACTAATGCAATTGGAACCAGTACTTCCATCATAAAGTAATGCAGTCATTGAGTCACATCGAGTTTTATAATCTTTTTTGCTGCAGCTATTAAGCAATTCTGACTCCCCCCATTGACTTTGGTTGTCAAAGGCCCTCTGGGAAGGTCACAAATGGCAATCACCCAACCCTGGGATACTGCAATTGTCATACAAGCCATTTGCCAGTCTGAATTGCTATGGTGGTTTAAATGCAAGGACTGGCTCTAAGTCACTTTTTTTCAATACCATTGTAACTTCAAATGGTCCTTAAACAAATAGTCATAGTCAAGGAGCACCTATATCAACTTCCATCTGTTCAACATGGTTGTAGAATGGGAAATGTTTAAGTTGTTTTGAGATACTACATTTTTAAAATGTCATTATTTACAAATTCTTTTCATTATTTTGCTTTGCTTATTATGGTTAATCTCATAAATCGGCCAGATGTTTAGACTGGATTTGGCATTTTTACCCACCTATTGAGTTCTTCCCAAGGACCTGGGATAGGAAGATGTTTGATGGTGCAAAAAGTATTATTGCAGGGTGTAAGCTGTTCCAAGTTGGCCTTTGCAACTGATTTATGATGATTTTGTCACTGCCAATGCTGTTCAAGGAGTGCTCTAGATGTTCTCAGATTGCACCCTACCTCTGTCGGTACTATCTTTGCTTTTATTTTGCCAAGTTCAGTCTGAATATCTGGTTAACTGTACAGCGAGCCAAAATAATACCATTGGCATTGACAAAATCACCATCAGTCAACTGCAAAAGGCAGCTTCACATGGAACAGCTTAACTCCTATGACAGTATCTTTAACAGCATCAAACATCAACATCTGCCTATCCCAGGTCTTTGCAAATGACTTAGTAGGTGGATAAAAATAACCAAATCTAGTCTGAAGTCTGGCTGTGTGATAACCATAATAATATTTTATATTTTTCTAAAATCAAATTTATGAAGAAACCAAACATAGCCCTCTGATAACTAGTATCTGTGTGAAACTTAAACGAATCCTTATGGTAAAGTTAATAAACTCAATTGGAAAATTTGATATTAATTATGTAATTAGACAAATCTTCAAGTTTTTTAGAATAAAAGTGATACCATTTTCAGCCATTCTGAGAAAGATTTTGTATTACTGGAGGTATAGATACACATATAGTTCAAGCCACAACCTGAGACTCATCATATTAATAAACGTGCAATTAGTTCATATCCATCATCCCAATCATATGTACTTTTTCAGCTTCTTTTAAGCTAGGGTGAAGCAACTATACATTGCTGTTTTCTCAAACAAAAAAACAACTATTATTTTTACATGTAACATTTCATCATTTAAAAAACCATTGCATATATGTATTTTTGTGGCAAAATTACTTTGTAATTTTAGGTCTCCATCAGAGAAAACAATAGAGCTAATAGAAGTTATTATAAAAAATTATATAAAGAAAAATAGTTTACTGTCTGTTGCATTTGTCTTCATAGAAAACCAATGTACATAAAAAGTAAGCAGAGCTACCCATTTACAGAATGATGGAAATCCAGATTGTTTGAATGTATAATACAGGTAGTCCTCAACTTACAACCACAATTGAGCCCAAAATTTCTGTTGCTAAGTGAGACATTTGTTAAGTGAGTTTTGCCCCATTTCAAGACCTTTCTTGCCATAGTTGTTAAGTGAATCACTGAAGTTGTTAAGTAAATCTGGCCTGCCCATTGACTTTGCTTGTCAGAAAATAGCAAAAGATGATCAGCTGACCCTGCAACACTGCAACTGTCATAAATAAGAGTCAGTTGCCAAGTGTCTGAATTTTGATCACATGACCATGGGAATGCTACCATGGTCGTAAATCATTTTTTTTCAGTTCCATTGTAACTTCGAACGGTCACTAAATGAACTGTTGTAAGTCGAGGATTATCTGTAAAAGGGAAAGTATTTACTCTGTTATCAGCAAGCCAGATCCACTATTTGCTTTTTTCATTTTAGCAAGAAAATTGAATACATTATTGAAACAGCATTGGAGTTAGGGTAGAATTAATATAAGTATTACTACCAGTAGCCATAGGAGAGCTTACAGTGTAAATATTTGTGATTAATCAATCAGTAAATGAAACAAAAACACTTATTTAAACATATCAGTGCGTGCTCTTTATATCCTCTTTCCTGACATTTATTTTTGATATTAAAAAGTTCTCATCTTTTATTCTAAGATCAATAATAGGAGAGAAGCCATCTGTTGAGAAAGACAAAAAAATATCAGAACAATCCTATCAGCAAAGGAAAAAACTTCTTAAGTTTCATATTTGCTTCATTATGTTTTCATATCTCTTCTTTATCCAGCATTCTTGCTTTTTAGCATGTTGTATGTAACTATCCAATTTTAACTGGATCCTTTATAAATGAAATCAAGCCTCTAATTACTTTGATAGGATTACCACATTACTCAAAACTGGATGGCTTTGATGTGTGTCTAATAACACAGTGCTGTTGATTTCAATGAGCTATACCCCCACATTAATGTTCTCAGAACTGCATCCTAAAATGGATGGAAGCTTCAGCTAAGGAAAACTAACAGTTTAAATTAAGATCCATTATGTCAGAAGAACAAACAGCATCTGACATCAACTTAGAGGCATTATTCAAGGTTATTACCAAAGTCATTTTTAGTTTTTGTATCTATTTTTCACCTTTTGCAATTTTCTATTTCATTTTATATCAATCCACAAGTTCTATTGTTATGTATTCAATATTTAAGCCAAACCTGCTCATTTTCAAGGTTTTTAAAAGAAAAATGCAGTATCTGCAAAGACTTTCAGTACAGTCATGAAAATTTTTATTTAACATTTCTTTATTTGTAAAATAACTGAAGCAACTTCCTAATGCCCACCAGAGATGGGAAGCATGCAAGATGCTCAGATTGTAAAGTTTTCTTCAACTTTTAAGTCACAATGAAGCCTTCATCTTTTTGCATGACAGAAAACAACAGCTGATGAACCCTGGGGAACACGTGCCAGCTGTCTTTCATTTGTTTTATTCTCCAAGCAGTAGATTGGTAGCAGCATTTCAAAAAGCAAGTTATAGCACTGAAATCAATCTCAGTACTGTTTTTCAGTTGTAAACAAAATTTGAATTATGGAGAGTTTCATACTGGATACACATAAATCAATTCTGGTTTTACATAAATTGATGTGAACTTTTAAGTGAATGCATAGTTTGAGTCAAATGTTTATGTTCTCTTTGATATTCAGTTCTGAAGAGTCAAGAGATCCATTTAACATAATACGCAAACAGCAGTATATTATTTGTAGAAGATTCCATGAATTAAAAATAGTATTTTAATTGGATATGGGATAAACATCGTAATCTAGATAGTTGTTTTTTTTTAAAAAAAAAATTAACACTCATTTTAAAACATTTGACATTGCAGGTCTAGGTAAGGACTGAACAAAAGTAGATTTTTATACCAGCCAGAATTTTTTAAGTGCACGTCATAATATATCCAAGAAATGTTTCATAAACCTAATTGTTATTAAAGCCTCCTATAAATAATTTAAGATTCTTTTTGCTACAAAACTGTTACAATCTAGCAATAGTATGCATAGCTTGAATGCTACCATGAAGTTCAGACAGTACTCTAAAAGATATACATTTCACTGGCAATAAGCTGGAGACAGCTGAAAGCTTGAAATAGTCCGAGTTCCACAGTAACAATCTGTAGAACTGAGCAATATTTGTCACCCACTTATTTTATTTCTTCCCTCAAAGGCTCTTAAAACAATTATAAATCTGAATAAAATTTATTTGTATTCTCTGGCATCTTCTGTTAAGAAATTGCAACCGTTTTAAATTTTTGTCCTTTGATGAATACATTCCTTCTGGTGGTATGCACACTTCAACAGCGACTGGCTGCCTAACAAAGTTCCTTTATGCATACCAATAGAACCCTGTCCAGTTTTGCCATTTGTGGAGAACCGATGACAAGATACAAAAGCATGTGTTGGCCATAAATAGCTTTGGCTAACGGAGGACTGCTCGTACAGAGCAGATCAAATTCTCTATATGGAGTGTAGTGTCTGGCTTTCAGCCAAATGTTTAGCCAAACGCAAGACTTAGTAGCAGCAAAAGCTTTGGAGACCTATTTGTACAAAACTTAACTGGAAAATAGCTGCCCTATGACTAGACAAAAAGTAGAACATGAAATACTAAACTAACACAAAACTGGGGAAAGTGAAATAACACTCTAGGTTAGCTAATAGTTTTTATTGTAAGTTTCTGAAACAGGATAAGTTGTTGGACTAAATGTTTCCTAATAATGAAACATATTAAAGTTAACCATAGATTTCAGAGGGAAGGTTGCATATTCAAATCATTGTAAAAGCAAAATCACAATGTAATAGATTAATGATTGAAGTGGAATATATACTAGACTAGAGCGATAGGAAGTGATACAAAACGGTTAAACATATTTGTGTATGTTTGTATATTTTCCCATGAAAACAAAGGGGCATTCTGTAATAAGCTACAGGTTTTATTGCAGTGTGGTGACTTGATATTTGATTTCAAAACCAGAGTTTCATTTACGGTTCCTTTATACAGAAATTGCCATTATGAATGATGCTTCACAAAATATATTTAGGTTGCAAGATCTGCATGGTAAACAATTCCTACTCCTGTTCAGTAGCATATATTTCATGAAAAACAAAAACAAAAAAGGCATAATTACAATTACTTCATTTAACAGAAATGAGGACCAAGGTACAAGAGACTGATGACACAATTCCATAAATTAATTGGCATTCTAGGGAGATGGAAGAAGAAATCAAACATATTACAAAAAAGTGCTTAAAATGCATAGTGTTATGTGCTGCCATGTCACAAAAAATAGGCTTATAAAGGCATGTGAGGTGTATGAATGCACAAGAGCCTCATGGAATTGCAAGTGCAACTGTAAAGTAAAACTGAATAGAGTCTCATTTGATCATTGGACAAGAGTTTAAAGGCAATCAATTAACTTAAGCTTTTTCTTTTTGCTTGGCTAGACTATCCACATCAACTATCACATTCATTGTACACATTTGCAAGAAATGCCTGCGGTTTGGGCTAAAATATATGGAAAGCATTCCATGGATTCTACATAAAACTACCAGGTTTAAAAAATAGTCTAACGAGGGTCATTTGCAGACTGTTAATGATCTCTTCTTTAGGTATTTGGGTTCTGGGAAGATGGGGCCAAAAAAGGAATTAGTATTATTCCAACTGAATGAGCTGCAAAAAAAGGAAGCTCCAGATGGCACATGCCTGTCCTTTTATAAAGGTTTTCCTTCAAGTGAAACTACCACATTGCCTCCTAGTTTCTCTCCCAATGTTGAACGATCTTTAATATCTTCATAACCATTTACCTGCCATTCATGCTTAATACCTGGAAAAGACAAATGAAAATACGTATGTGCTTTGTTCTGTATTTTAGTGGGAAGGAATTTTTTTTATAAAGTTGCTGAAAAATAATGACTGTATAGAAATCTGCCTGCTTCCTTGAGCAGAAATTTAAGTAAGAGATTAATCTGAATGTAATTGTTACTAAATTCAAAGTTGTCTTATGACATGTTTTCTACTCATACCTGTAAATTTCTTTTTAATGGCATCTTTAGAACTTGCATAGATCATCTTGCTTTTTAAAGGGGCATTTTCTGGGGCCCTGCAGAGAAGAGGGAAAATTGGTTAATTCAGCTCTAAATCTTAGAAAGTCAACTGTGTTTAACAGTAATCCTTTGACTTACACACCAGAATATAAATACCAGATCTTCCTTTTTAGATTCCTTTGTTTCATATGTTGCATCATACAAAGCATATCGGCAATCATTCAGAGGTAACAGCTTCACAAAGGCTATATAAGGGTCCTCAACTGTGACACCAATGTCACCAACTAATATCTGCTTTGCTTCTTCTACAATTATTTGCTTTTTGTCAGCACTTAAACAGAAAAGAACTGCTTTCTTTCTTTTTTTAATCTCTTCCGATGTTGAAGATTTCCGTACTTTCATATCATTGAAAACCTTGATAACTTCATCATTCACTGTTACCCCAGAAGCCTATAAAACAAATTGAAATAACATTTGTTAATATAAACTGAATTTGAAGACATAGAACAGCCCTACTGAATTCAGTAAAATTTACCTCAAGGGAGATATGCATAGAATCAAGCTGTGAGAATCTTGTAACTTGGTCCGCAGTGAATATTTGGAACATTTTGAACATTCTTTGAGGCTCAATATTTGTTAACATTATCTGCAGTTATCTAAGATTAATTCTTATCAAATTCAAGGAAATGTTAACATCTAAGGAAATGTGCCTAATATTATACAGGCTTTGCCCCCAATAATACAATACCTGAATATTCTAGAGGCAGAATAAATGTATCTTATATTTATGTTAAATTATGGATTTATGTTATGTACTTAAATTTTAGTTAATACTATTCTGTATATACTTCACTGAAATCACTACAGGATGAAATAATCAAGGACAGAATGTACAATTACACTGAAGCTCATTAAACCATGCAAGAGCCATGCCTAAAAGAATGTAACTTACACCATCTGACTAAGGAGGTGTTCCTTAAAGTCATAGTTATTTAAAGCCATAGATATTTTTTCTAGCTTTCATTCAATTGTAGTGAATGAAATGAGGATGCAAAATTTTCAGGAAAGATCTATAAAATTTTCTCAATTTTTAGTATTTAGTATTAAATATTATGCTGGAATGAGTCTAGTGGAAGCAATCCTTTAATATATAAAGAACACCCCAACATATGAGAAATAAGTCAACCATATTTGCAGAAACCTCATTTTCATGTAAACAAGTCCCTGCACAGAAAATTAGACTTTAGATTTACTACCTTTTCTTGAGTACAGCAAGGAACACATAGCACTTCCCTTCTCCAGTTTTTCCTAGAGCTTTATCTCTTGGGGAAAAAAACATCTGCAAAATAGAGTCTGCTTCAAAGTAACCTAAGGAGCTTCTGTGGTTGAAGGTAGATCTGAACGTGGGTATTCCAGATTTATTTCATCACTTTAACCCCTATAGCACACTACTAGGGATTCATGAGTACATCCAGCAAAATAATAGCATAAGCTCAAGCTGGTATTTATTCATTTTTTTTGTCTTTAACACACAAAGAAATATATGGTTCTATGTTTTTAATTGGTGTTTTATTACACAAAAACAATTCAGTTATTTACTCATATAGTCAACCCCCAACCGTTGTTCTGTAAACAAAATATAATAGTTATCTCAGTGTTCTCTTTTACAGAATGACAACCTTTGCATTTTCCTTCTCTACTGTTAGAAGAAAATCAAGCCTTTTGTGTACACATATTCTCTAGCACCAACAGGAACAGCTGTATAATAATGCCATTCAAATACAATCAGGACATTCCTGCTGTTCTGTTGGATTTTCAGCCACATACTGGCAGTGGGCAAGCTCTAATGGGCAGTATTCTCTGGAGTGGGTCAAAAGAATAAAGATGACCCCCCACCCCATTTGAATAACTCAAGTTTAAGCTATCCATACGTAGTGAATGGTATATACTACTGTACTCAGCTTTCCCAATGAGGGGGTGCTTCTGCCCCAAAATTCTGATTAATTAAAGCTATCTAACAAAGGAAAACAATGGTTTTTCCCATGTTCTTTATCCAGAAGCAATAAGCTAGTGACAAAACGGAGAGGGGAAAACCCAGCTATGCGTCATTCCACCACACTTGCCTTTCGGGTTTAGAAGCATCTTTTTTTTCAGTTAGACAAAAAGAAGTTGCATCTTATCATACATAATGTTTGCATCTTATCATACATAATGTGCCAACAGACATGGCGTTATAAAATGGAAGTCATACAAAGGCTCTTATATAGACGTATATTTTCCCACCAAAAAGGGGGAGACGAAAGCACAGAAAACGTTTGTCTTTCTCTTTTTTTTGGGCCGGAGGTCCAAGTCATTTTGTACAGTCTGTTCTCCATTATATATATCCTTTTATTAGGAGAAGGAATATTAATCTCTTCTCCCAAATCAAAAAAAAAAAAAAAAAAAGGGTGGATGAAGTCAACCGGCCCTTTTTATTTCCCGCATTATGGGCCAATAAAAAGGGAAAGCGAACGAAACAAATCCTTTCCAGGCGTGAGGGAGACTCGGGTCTCATCCTATTCGCCCCACTGCGTTTCTCCTGCCCCAGTCCTCGCTCTAGAAGGCAAGGAAAAGCCGGCGAGGGAAGAAGCCAGTCCCGTTATTTGGCTCCCGTTCCGTGACTCCAAACGGCCAAACGCCGCTATTTAAGGGGAAACCTTCCCAGCTCTACCAAATGGAAAGGAAAGCAGCACGAGTCGGGTCGCTCCCCGGTATTTTTCCGCGCCTATCCGCGAAAGCGTTACGACCGCGGGAGGGCATTTTTTTCCCAAAACCACGGCAGGAGCCGCCGAGGGGCAAAACCTCCTTCGCCAGCGCTGCCTTTCTCCTTCTCTCGGGGATGGCCGAGACGCCTCGTCCACCCGCCTCCCCCGCGCCCCCCAGCTTCCCCCGCGACTTGCGCTGGGGGGGTGTCGCCGCCGCCGCCCCCCCCCCTCAGCCTAGGCTAAAATTAGACTAAAATGGCTGCCAGGCACCGCCAGGGGCTCACTTCGCCCCTCTGGCCCTCGGGAGCCTGGTCCAGCCGTTCTGGCTGAGTCCGAGCGGCGAGCGCCCGGCCGCGGCAGGTTGCTCCGCGCTCTTACCATGGTGCCCGGGCTGGGTGGCGGCGCGGGGGGTGATGGCGGCGGCCGCTTCTGCCGAGGGAGCGGAGTCGGACTGGCGCTACGGAGCCCACCGAGGAGAAGGCAGGCGGGGAGGAGAGAGGCGATCGGCGGGGGGCTCGAGGGGAGGGGGAGGCGGGTCACATGGGCTTCGCCTTTCCCTCACCACGTGCTCCAGGCCCTGCCCAGCCCTGCGGAGAAGCCAAAATGGGGAGGGGGAAGACGAAGGGCTCCCCTCCTTTTTTTGACGCCAGAACTTCGCCAAAAGGGCGCTTCGGCGTGAGGGGGAGCGGAGCCCGCCTCGGGCTTCCTCGGGGGGAGGAACCGCTGCTGCTCTGCATTACGTCCCCGGAGGGCATCCTCTTCTCCTTCGCCCTCTCTTGGCCAACCCCATCCCTCCGCCGTCCAGCGGGCCAGCCCCGGAGCACGGCAGCGGCGGCGGCTTTGCCTTGCAGCCCCCTCTGCGGCTTGGTCGGCCGCCTTTGCGCTTTTCGATTACGTGGGGTGCGGCAGGTGAGACGGGCCCTGCCGCACTTTTGGCCCGCCCCACGGATAGCGGGCACCGCCGCCCCGTCCTGCGGCGGGCTTGGCTCTCTGCTCTTGGGTCCGGGAAGAGATGAGCGAGAGGCGGCGGCGGCGGCTGCAGAGCAGTTGCCCCCGACGCCGCTTCCTGGCCGAGCTTCTCTGAGCGCACCTGCTGAGGTTGGACCGCCTTGTTCTGCCAAGGAAGCGGGCAGGAATGAATCCGGGACGAATCTGCCGCAGCCGAGGGGCCGCCGCTGCCTGATACGAAAAGGAGTGGGAAGGGTGGGAACTGGAGAAAGAGCTGAACGGGGAAGAGCCGTTCGTGTTTCACGGCCAGCGGTGTAGTGTTTGTGTTTGAGTGTATAGTAAAATCCTCTGTTTTCAATGGGAAAGACCCAAGGCCAATTTAAAAGGTTTTTACAGCGACAACGCCTAGCTCAGGAGCGGGGTGCCTGGCCCAGCTAACGAAGAATAGATACCAAAACTCAGAGACAAAATGGAAGAAGGCTGCAAGGTGTCCTGAATCATATGGTGTACTTGCGTGAGAGAGATTCATTGGATGAGCAACGCTTACCCATGGTTAATTGTACCACAGTTTATTTAATTCAACTTCCTGGATTCACACCACATGTGGACTTCACACAACATATGTTTAGCCACATGGTTCACTGTCATGTAGCCACCATCTGAAGCTCATAGGGGTCTTGGGAATTATGCTGTAGAAGCAGTTGGATGACAAAGCTGATGAAAGGGGACACGCTCAAGGCTCTGAGAGGAATAATTTTCACAGCAAGGTTAAGGACTTGAATGTGGGTGACAAAGCCTAGTTCCTTCTCCACAAACAAGGACAATTTAGTAATAAATACATTCTTGATGAAAAAGACGGTCAAAACTCCCTCTGTGTCAGTGTAAGAAGATAATAAAGCATCTGTCTAATGTTTTGAGAATTGTCATATCATGTGCTTGGCCACCAAAAGTGTGAATGTTATTTTCAGTACTGTTGTTTTTTGGCATCTGATACTGAAAAACAATTTCAACATTTTTATATGGAAAATGAATATCTTATTGTAAATTGCAGATAAATGAAGAGAATTATCAAGAGAGGTGTTAGAACACTACCGTTTTAGCAAAAGTAACTTGAAAAAGCTAGTTTTACAGTTTGACATTGGTTACAACCAGATTTACATTAATATTTTCAAGAATGACTTCTAATATATTTAATGTTGAAGTCAGCTCAAGAACTTTTAAGATTGCTGAAGATTGACCAAATAGATGTTAAAAAGATAGGGTACAATAAAGTTATATACATATTCATCATTAATTTAAATTATATATCATTTTACAGTGGAATTTAGTCCTAGGATAGAAAGACTTTGTTTTTAAATATGGGAAAGGGAGATGACACTGAGATTTGTGTGAAAAGTAGGAGTTATTGAAGCTATATGTTGAAGCTGTATATTGAAAACGTGAAGCAGGTGATTGCCTTTTAATAAAATATACATTCTGCTATTCCAAAGGTGCTTTTTCCAACAGGCAACTGGACTATCTTGGGTTTATCTTTGAAAACATTTTGCTTCTCATCCAAGAAACTTCGATTCTTTTTCTTTTGGAAAAAGCACCTTTGGGACAACCATGACCTGGATGACTGAGAATCTCTATAGATATATATTTTGTTAATTTTTCCACAAGAGATTACTTTTATTCACACAGTATTACATATAAGCTGCTAGAGTTATAATAGTTTGGGAATTCTAATGCAGAGCTCTGAAAATAGACCAATCCAGTTCTTCCTGTCTAAAGGGGGTCCAGAATCAATAGCTGGCTGGTCAATGCCAAGATTCAAAACTAATTTCAGAGGGAAAAATAATTAGGTAAACAAATTTTGAAAATCATTTAACTGTGAACTCATGTGTTTGACAATTTTATTATTTTTTGTGGTGGCGGCGACTAAATTTACTTTTTTAAGAAAGTGGATTGCAGAGTTGTTTGGCAGGCCACGTGCAGGTCATGAGTTGTGTTCAGGACCAGATCAACAACAGAATCCTGCAAGTCTAATTATACCATATCTCCACTTGCTCTCTATATAGGTAATCCTTGATTTACAATGGCAATTGGACCAGAATTTTCACTGCCAACCAATACAGTGCTAAAACATGATCTCATTGTTTTGTGATGGCAATCCCTGCAGTCCTGAGTGCCATCATTAACCAAATCCCGTGATCATTAGTTGAGGCAATCTCCTGTCAACTTCCCACAACCAAGTCGGTGAGGAAGCCAGCAAGAAGTAGACCAGCAGCAGATAAGTGTTGCGGGGAAGGGGGGAAAGGGGCAGGGCGATAGGGGCTGTGTGAGGTTGGATAACTCTGTATAAGTGACATGGCATCTTAAATATTGTTGTAATATTTGATTCAATCTCTCTGATTTCCCCATTGGATGCCAGATACAGAGAGGTTGACAAATAAATTTTGAAGTTTAATAATTGAAAAGGGACCTTCCAAAACTTGGTGGTAAATAATAATACATAATAGTGTTCCAGGGTTGCAAAAGTGAGCTTAAGAGATTGCTGCAAGGCAGCTGGCTTTCCAGGAACAGATTTTGCCTGGCAGTGTACATAACAAAATGAAACATAATCTTTGACATCTGCCCTCGCTCTTGGCCCCCATAAGTCCCCAAGAACCCTCAGTTTAAAACTGAGAATTTTAAACACACTCCCTTGCCCAGCTGTCGTACTGTTGCGACAGAGTTATATTTCTTCCCTTAAATGTAGGGAAGCATGTAAGGACCATTGTGCAATAGCTGCCCTTCCTAAACCATGAAAGGTAAAGAATTGTCTTGTGGATCTCCTTGGAGGTATCTATCTGAGCCCTGATATAAACCTGTTTCCCTGCTCCGTTTCTCTGGAGGTCGAACCTCTGGGGAGACTAGAAGTTGCTTGGTTTGATTATGGCATTTGGGGAAAAGATTGCTTCACTTAATGACATCCATGTCTCCTGTTCCTGATGTGGTCATTAATCAACCACATGGGTCATTAAACAGAACATGGGGTGCCTAGTGCAGGTCCAGGCTCGTCTGCTCCAAGCCTCTTAAGGTCTCCCTCCCACCCTCCGGGTCTCTGCAGGCCTTGGACCTACTTGAACCCAGATCTACCCCCTCCCATCCTCCTCCCCAGCCCCATCACATCCTTACCATCTGCTGTACCTCTCTGGAGCTCGCATTGAGAAAGGAGAGCAGGCTGTTCCACTCCTCAGCATCCCAAGCCCCATGGCTCTGTCCTGGAAGCAGGAACTATTTTCGGGCTGTCTGAATTTATTTGTGGTACCTACTTAGGGGTGGAGTCACATGGCAGAGGGGTGGAGTGGCCTGCTCTTCTTCCCCAGTGAGAGCTGCAGAGCTCTACAGATGGTAAGAAGGGGGAGATACGTAGGTGGTCAGTTGTAAGGGCAAATCTGCCTGAGGTTTGTACATGTGACCATGAGGCTGCTGCAGTAGCCACAAATTTGAAACCGGATCATAAGTAGCTTTTGGGGGAACAGGGGATGTGTGTCTGTCATAACTTCAAGAATTACCTGTACATGGTGTAATTAAAGCACTGTTTGTGATTCATTTAAAAATGGTATGGAAAGCACAGTAATAGCCAAGACAGGAAAAATTAATTTATATTCCAGTAACAAAAAAGGAAAATGCTAAAAATACTCAAACTACATAATGTTGCTATTATCCTACAGTTTTTGTGATTCAGACTTCAACAATCCATAGAATTAAACTACTAAATGCACAAAATAAAATAAAAAAACACAGAAAACAACACTTCTAAAAACAAGGATTTAGTGGCCCACCACTTACTTAGTGAAGACATTTTATGATTACCAGGAATTAATTGTAGATGAAGTAAAACCAGAATCCTGTCTCACAGCACTAAGAATGAAGGTAAAGTATAGATGTTTAAATTATATAGTACAAAACCAAGATTTGCTGTAGAAGATCCTGATGGCTTAAGGCAGGGCTTTTCAACCAGTGGTACGGGTACCACCTGTGGTACATTGGCACCTGGCAGGTGGTACGTGACCATCCTAGAAAAGTGGTAGCAGGGGAGGGGAATGGACTGAACCGGTGGCAGCACCGCACAAGCCCTGAGCGAGAGATGGCTGGAGCTGCAGGGCTGTCAGGGCTCCAGGAAGCCCCAGGATCAATGCCACTTTCCAGCTGATTGGCGCTTCTTCGGGGCTGTCAGGCTCAGCGGAAGCGCCAGGATCAGCGCCAGGCTCCAGCTGTAGCTCAGCGCTGATCCTGGCGCTTCTGCTGAGCCCAGAAGAAGCGCCTATCAGCTGGAATGTTGCAGCATCTCCAGGGTCTTGTGATTTACATTCAGATGCTTGGCAACTGATTCATATTTATGACAGTCACAGTGTCCCAGGGTCATGTGAAGTGACCAAAACCTGCTGCAACCACCCAGCAGACGGTGGGGGGGGAATAAAAACCAAACACCCCCCACCCCACCCCCGCTGCCAATCCTCAACAGAAATGCTCACAACAATGAAAACCTCGGACAGGAGGAAGAGCGCCGCC